GGTGCGGTTGGCGCAGGATAGAGCAGGGTTTAGGGCTGTTGTGCATAGGGTCGCTATGAGTCGGAAACGACTCGATGGCACATAACAACAACAAGAAGTCATTTCACTTTGACTCAAAAAGGAAAAAAATCTATGTATGAAAAATTTCCAATTTTTTTTTAAAGTAACAAAACAAAAACTTGTAAATGTGTAGGCTCTCCTAATGAAATTTAGGATTTTGGCATTGTCACAATGTCTCCTACCAGTATAAGGCAAGTGATGTGGGAAAAAGCCTCTCAATTTCTTTCAACTATAACATTACAATGTGTTCTTACTTTCTCTACCAACAACCAATAATAATTGTCTTTGAAACGGACAATTTAGCTAACAAGTCTCATTTCTATAACTAATGTATTTCTCTGAGGCAATTCTTTTTCTTAGATGACTTAGTATTAAGTACTTTTCAAAGGACAAACAAATCTTCTCACATATGTACACAACTAGGTTATGTTAAGAGACTTACCAGACACCTGCTGTGTGAGTGAAGGTTTCTGAGTATGATCTATATGCCATCCGACTAATATATCAACCGTATCCTTGAGAGGAAAAAAAGAGCGAGCTAATCACTTTAAGGTCATAGTGCTATTCCACCTGAGGGCTGTTTCAGAGTGAAAAACCCTAAAAACAGTGGGTGAAATGTTTTACCCAAGAAGGGAAAGTGGGCAGAATAATGGATTGGAATTTATTACAATAATGAAACAGTGTTTTTCTTTAAATATCTTCAGATATTAAGGGGAGAAAAACCACAACACACATAATTTTCATATAAACGTCATTATACTAGTAAACCCTGGACCTTTAAAAACCCCATTACTCTAGAGGAGCAAAAGCATTTTATTTTCTTCAGTTTCTCACACATACACAGCCTCCACTCACTCCATCATCGAAAGAGTAAGAAATGAAAACTCACCCTAAAATTAGTGCTGAAAATATGAGGGTAACATCGAGCCACCAAAAGAATGCATTTAACACATTTGCAAAGTAACTCTGGTGTATCCACATTTTCTAGGATGGACTGCAGGCTGGTCATTACAAGCTTAAAATTAAAGTGAAAACCATGAACATTATACAAACAAAAAACCAATATATCTAGTTCATCATTTATTAATGATTATTATCTAAAATGGATTATCGTACCAAAAAATCATGTAAGTTTACAACAAAAACAATCTGCATCAAAAAGCTCACTACCAAATGTCATATACCATTAAGAAAAGGAAAGGTAAAAAAGATAATCAGATATTCTAAGGACACTAATGGTCTAATTTTAAAAGCCATTTTTATGTGCTAGTTGAGTTCTACTAACTCACAGTAAGTTCTATGTACCCTAGACCCTGACACTGCCGAGGACTGTGTCATCCCCCCAGTAGTTGCTATACTTGGGCCCACTGTTACGACCATTTTGTCAATCCATCTCATTGAGTCGCTTCTTCTGTTTTTTAAAACCCACTAATATGCATGGTAGTTTTCTGCAGGGATTGGTCCCTCCTGATAACAAGTCTGAAGTACATGAAATGAGGTCTCACCAGTCTCACTTTCTATGTAGCATTCTGTCTTCTTCTAGGACAAATCTGTTTTTCCTGGTAGTCCATATACTTCCCCAAGACAATTCAAAGATTAACAATTTCTGCTCCCTCTCCTTTGCTCTGTCTACTTTTCACATGCCATGAGGTAGCTGAAAATACCATGGTCTGGATCAGGAACACTTCAGTTCATAAAGTACTTATTTTTGCTTTTTAACACCACAAAGATGACTTTTGCAGCAGATTTCCCAAGGCAGCGTGTTCTTAACTGCTGATTCCATGAACATTGTGAATATAAGTAAAAGAAAATGTTTAACAAAGAAAACATACATCCCCTTTTAAACATGTATCACCATGCTTCCTGGTTGTGAGGACTTTTCTTCACGTTAAGACGTAATGGTTATAGAACGCTGTAGATTTTGATGATCTTCAGGAACGGCTTCAAGTATTCTTCAATTTTAGTAAGCAAGATTATGTTATCAGCACTACATTGGGTTGTTGGTGAGTCTTCCTCTAAACTTTATATCCTCTTATTCATAGTCCATCTTCTCAGATTATATGCTCATCATACAGATTATGAAAGCGTACAATTCAGACATTCGGACCACAAGGATGTAATAATTTATAATCTTAAAAAAATCTTAAAAATACGTCTTTTTGTAACGCACAGAGATGGAAATACACAAAAATGAAAATTAAGTAGGTTGGTATTCATTTATACACATTTGTTTTGTATCACCGGGATTAAGGATTTGACATGTTAGCAAACCCAGAAAGGCTTACAAGTAGTTGTTGTTATGTGCCGTCGAGTCACCTGCGATTCATAGCGACCCTATGTACAACAGCCCTAAACCCTGCTCTATCCTGTGCCAATCTGACTGCCTCTGACACACCCATCCCGATTACCCCAGTCACTGAATCAATGCACCTCATAGAGGGTCTTCCCCTTCTGCGCCATCGCTCCACCCTCCCAAGCATGATGTCCCTCTCCAAGGACCTCTCCCTCCTTACAACATGTCCAAAGTATATCAGACGAAGCCTCAGAATCCTTGCCTCCAAAGAGCAGCCTTGTCTAACCCTCTCCAGGATGAATCTGTTTGTTTTCTTGGCAGTCCAGGGTACATTCAATACTCTTCTCCAGCACCACAGCTCAAAGGCATCAATTCTTCTTCTATCCTCCTTAGTCTCTGATGCATAACAAGTGATTGCAATGACCATAGCCTGTATCAGATGCACCTTAGTCTCCAGAGAGACACCATTGCTCTTCAGTACCCTGGATAGGTCCCTAACAGCAGACTTTCCCATCGCAATATGATTTTTTATTTCCTGGCTACTGGTGCCAAGAGTGTTGACCGTGGAGCCAAGCAGGTTAAAGCTGTTAACAATCTCAATCTCTTCACCATCCATCCTGATGATTGATGCCAATTGGTCCAGCGGTGAGAATCTTTGTCTTCTTAACATTGAGCTTCAATCCATACTGAAGGCTGCAGTCCTTGACCCTCTGCAAGCAAGCATTTCAGGTCCTCCTCAGTTTCAGAAAGCAGGGTTGTGTCTTCTGCATAATGCTGACTGTTAATAGCTCTTCCACCAATCCTAGTAGGAATGTTTCATTTTATCTCCCTCAGAAAGACGGGAAAAAAAAAGAGGGAAGCATGCTCCTGTCTACTATCTGAGATGGACCTTCCAAGGCTACTTCTAAATTTGTAAACTATTCCAACATAGCAACTTCAAGAACTGTTAAAGCAAGAAGCTGCACTGCAATCCCAGAGGTGAGCAGTTCGAATCCACCAGATGCTCTGCTGGAGAAGGAAGGACAATCTCCTCTTGTACCAGTTAGATCTGATTTGACAATACACACACAAAATATAGTAAAATTTAGAAAAAACCCAAAATTTAAAAAACAACAACAACCAAAACAACAACAGAAAAACGTCTGCAGTTAGGGACTTCTCCAAATTATTAGGGGAGCTCTGGTGGCCTAGTGGCAAGAAGCTGCAACTACAATCCCAGAGGTGCACGGTTCGAATCCACCAGATGCTCTGCCGGGGAAGGAGGGGCAATCTCCTCCTGTACCAGTCAGATCTGATTTGACGGTACACGCACACAAAAATAATAAAATAAAATTTAAAAAAAAAGAACTGTTAAAGAAGTCAAACCAAATAAATCAACCCAAAAATTAACTAATTTCAAATCTACCCTTAATGTGTAGATTTTTACCTAACAAGGTCAGTATCCCTGCAACAGACAAAAAGTCCATGTTCCCACAGAAGGAGGAGTCATCAAGACCAGTGCTCTACTCCCAACAGAGACAAAATCAGAGTCAATGCCTCAACTAACCTCCCTTTATCATCATTCCCACATGAGGTTGTTCAATCATGCTTTCATATTTTGTTTAAACATAATATATAGAAATGCTTATAGCGTTTTACTTCAAAAGCATGAAAATCACTGGAATCTGGTAAACCTCTTGCGGCCTTCAACTAAGACCTAGTCACAAGCACTTACCCTCTTTGCCTAACTCAGGAGCAGTATCTGCTCCTTCCGATGTACTTTTAAGTCTTGAAGTAGATTTGCTTGTTTTGCAGTTTATTTCCCTTGCAAGAGCAGTCATTCTAAGGGCTACTATAGTAAAGCCTACTATAACGCAACATCTATCTTCCAGTAAGCTAACTTCTTAGGAATCCTTGTTGGCTGCATTGAAGCTTTAAGTTCATCTGCTATTCTCTTTCATAATGAAAAAAGACTGTCAGTATAATTGTTTTGACCTAAAAGACTAGCTCCCAATACGTGGAGATCTCCTGAAGAGATCTTGGCTGATCGCTTAAAGTAGTTTTTCTATAGGTTTGTATGTAAATAGAGGGCGTTCTGATTGCCTCGTGGTAAGAAACTGCACTGCAATCTCAAATGCACTGTTCAAATCTACTAGCTGTTCTATGGGGAAAAAAAAAGGTAGGCAATTTCTTCCCTTGCAATTTCCTGCCTCTGGAAAAAAATCCCCTGGAGGGACAGCTATGAATCAAGGCAAACTTGATATACACAACAACATAATTTCAGAGAGAGAAATGTTGCTTGTATACAATATACTGTATCAGTTATTGTGATGTGTCAATGAGTAGAGTATGACTCAGTGATGAACAACAGATCTGACCCATCCTATCGTGTGTCATCTCTGACTCACTTGAGCCCACTGTTGCAGTCACTGTGTCAATCCACCTTGTTGGGGGTCGTCTTCTCTTTGCTGACCCTCCATCTTTTTCAAGTATAATGTCACTTATAATGTCACTGTCCAAGAAACAGCCTCTCCTATCAACATGTCCAAAGTATGAGAGACGATATATCGTCATCTTTGCCTGCAAGGAGATGATCCCAACCCTAAATTCCTTTTCATCAAACTCCTCTTTAAAGAACTATGGTAAAGACAATTTTCTTCCCAGGCACACCACCACCATTTCCTCCAGTCTTACCTGCATGATAGATGAGAAGGCTTTCTTTTCTCCTACAGTCTCAAGTGCTTTGTAGGTGGCACATAAATAGAGAAGCTTAACTTCATCTTTTGCAGATGAGCTAAATTTGCTAAAAATCCATTTGAAGATCTTCTCAGCCTCATAGCTCAGAGAAGCACAAAGAAGGCCAAGACAGCAAGCTCCCTCCTGTCTCAACTCCTGAAGCAATTTGCTACTGTTTATTTTAATGCAAACAAAACAAAACATACAAAAGCAGGCTTTCAAAGATGACAAGAATGACATATCTTACAAAACTAAGTCTTACACAAATTTTAAAACATTTCTCTTTTAAAACATTTCTAACAATATAAAAGGCAAAAATTATATTCACTCAAAATACTTTATCTTCTCTATTCTGCTGTGCTCAACAATTCCTTTGTCAGATATTTGACTTCCTTTACAAAAAAAATCAATGATTTGCAGACAGGAAGGGCCCTAAAAATATGGTATAATTTCTCCTTCAAATTTCATCTAAAAACTACATTAAAGGATTCACAGAAAAAGGCAGGAATACAGTAACAGAAAAAGTAGACTATAAATAACTATAATCTCTGTAACATTCATTAGTAAGAACAGTTAATTCAGGAAATAGTAATAGTTGAATAGCACAGACTTTTAAGGATAATAAGAAGTGATCTGAAAAATACTATTAGTAAGTAACTGTACAAATTAATAAGTGACTGTATGAAACAAAATCAGAAAGTAATATAAGGCTAGAGGTCTAGATGAGATCTTGGTGCTTTCCAACTGTGCAATTCTTTTGGAATTACCATGTAGAGAAGTGACTATATACCTTTGGAGAATCCCAGCAGTCATTTAGAATACATGGTTTCAATATACTTACCAAAGAAGAAAGTTCCCTTTTGGCTTCTACCCTCTACTTTAAGTAGTTTCAAAATTCTCAAGTTTACAACATTAATTATATTAAACTTACAAAAAGATGAAGTCTGGGAGACTTTGGCTTTCAAGTGGATTAGCTTTGCATTCAACAACAATCAACATACAAATATTTTAATACAGATAAGTAAGAGGACCCAAAGGAACATTAAATAGATGCTTATCATGCATACTTCTTAGTAATGAAAAATGTTTTTCAAAGTCATTTAAACGGAAACATTACTGTTTGCTTACCTTTCATTAAGCACATCATGAACAGCAGACAAGATATTATCCAGTTGTTTAACTAGTACCTTTAAAAAGAGGGGGGGAAAAGGCACATCTATGAAACTTCATATTCTTATACTTTTAAAGAATAGTATTTATCAAGAAGCAATTACTGTTATAAACAAAATGTCCAGGAATAATTATATAAAAACCAGCATGATTTATATTAACTTTTGCTGGGGAAGAAAGTTTTAAAAAGTATAGTACTGTGTACATTTTTCACCCTTTAGATAAGGAGCATCTTAGTTTCTAGTTCCCAACTTACATGCATCGGAAGTTTCCTATTACACCGTTAACTCACAGGCTGGAAGAGCCACAGTCATTAAAGGGAGTTGTGGGGGTGGGGACAGAGCTGGTGCATGTGTATAATCCAAGAAGTGTGTTTTACTGCCGTGATAGTCAAGACAGCATGGTACTGGTACAATGACAGACACATAGATCAATGGAATAGAATTGAGAACCC